CATCCATATGACTCTTCTTTGGATCATGCATGTACCGGCTCACCACACTTACTGCAAAAGAAATATCAGGTCGAGTGTGACACGGATAGATCTGGTGGCCCACCAGCCTTTGGTACCTCTTATAATCAACTAATTGACCTTCCTCTGTACTGAGTTTGACCTGATAAATTGGAAAGACTGCGGGTTTGCACCCATGTGTACTTGTCTCCGTGAGAAGATTCAATACATACTTTCTCTGGGTTAGGACTATCCTCTCAGGTTCATGGGCTACTTCAATCCGAAGAAAGTATCTGAGTTGTCCCAAATCATTTATCTCAAATTGCTTCTCCAATTTCCCATTCAGTTTAACAATCTCCGCCTCATCATCACCAGTGATAATTATGTCATCCACATACACAGTAAGTATAGCAGTGTGATCGTCATGTTGCTGAAAGAATATCGTATGGTCTGCATTGACCTGTTGATATCCCATGTCAACCATCGTCATTCTAAACATGTCAGACCAAGCTCGAGGTGACTGCTTCAACTATACAATGACTTTTTGAGCCTATAAACCTTGCCCACTGTCTTGGATGTACTAAATCATGGTGGTATCTTCATATATACCTCCTCTAGTAGCTTTTCATGAAGAAAAAAACATTATCATTATTCACATCTAGTTGTTGAAGTCTCCATCCACCATTCACTGCTAGAGAAACTAATGTCCTCACCGAGCTCATCTTGATTATTGGTGCAAAAGTTTCATATTAATCAATGTCATAGGTTTAATTGTATCATTTTGCCACTAATCGTGCTTTGTACCTCTCTATCTTCTATTTTGGAGTTTGTTTTACAGTGAAGATCCACTTGCATCCAACAGTTTTTTTCCCTGCTGGTGGTGGTACAATCTCCCATGTTCGATTTTTATCAAGAGCTCAAAGCTCTTCGTGCATCACCGCTTTCCACTTGGGATCCTCTTTAGCAACCCGCCAACACTTGGGTTTAGAGACAGAGCCTAATGATGAAATAAATGCTCCATGCAAAGGTAAGATATTAGAATAAAAAATAACGTTTTCAATGTTAAGTTTCCACCCAAAACGATTAGGAAGATGTCTTACATTGCTGCGTGAGGTCCTCATTAACGTGAGGAATAATATCACATGAGAGTTTTGAATCAAAGGCAAATGGTGCAGGTGTCTCAAGAGTTAGAAAAGATCGGGACGAGGGACTTGTTGGCACTGCAGACTCTGTTCCCTTAGTTTGCTTCTTCCTTCGTGTATACACCTTTAGCTCATTTTCAGCTTGAATCTCTTCACCTTTGGGGTCGGTTTTCTTGATTTTCGTCTGCTCAGATAATTCATCCCACATCATAAGACATGATATTGCTCCCACTTGCACCATTCCATCACCATTATTACTCTCTTGTCTCATACCTCGAGTGTTTGTTGAGTCACCAAAGGGTGAATTCATCTCCATAGTTTAGTATGGTTCAAACTCTCTGAATGACAGATCCATACTCACAAAGAGTCTTCTCAATCGGGCCCCAACAGGCATAACCCCTCTGAGTAGCGGAATAACCCACGAACACACATTTCAGAGCTTTGGAATCCAACTTTCCTACAGATGGTCTATTATTTTTCACAAAACATACACATCCAAATACTTTCAAAGGAAGTATCCCACTATTGTCTTCTTTCAACATCTGACAAGTAAACTTTCACTCCAGCATTTTTGCGGGTATTTTGTTAATCAATTGAGCGACCGTCAACACGGCTTGCACCCATAAGTACTGCGTGACATTGTCATAATCATGCTCCGGGCTACTTCCAGAAGATGTTGATTCTCTCTCTACTACTCAATTCCGTGTTGGTGTGTATGGACATGTGATTTGGTGTTGTATTTCTTGAGCTGATAGATAGTCCCCAAATGCTTTGTTGATATTTTCTGTCTCATTTTCAAACCTTAGTGCCTTCACAACCGTCCCATATTGGGTTTGGATTGCCTTGTAGTTTCTCCTTATTTGCCTTTTCATACACAGATGGATACAACCGATTTAGTAAACTAAGACTAGAATTTCTCATTCTTCTGTGTTGTAGCAGTAACACATTCTCGACGTTTCTCCTATATTCTCCTTCAACAACACTTTCCACCATGGATGCAGAGCTGAGTCCATCTCCTGTCGTCCAAATACCAGAGTCTGCTATGCCATGTTTCAACCCCAAGTGTCAGACCCGTCCATTTTTCTTGGAATATCACCTGAGAAATATCAATAGAAACAATGTATGTTAACTAGAGAATAATGATACTAATGGGCAAGATGTTTACTGGAAAAGATTGAGCATGCAAAATATTAGACAATGTCATGTAATTGGTATATTTCACTGCACTTTACCAACTGCAGGCTGCGGTGTACCATCAACAGTTTGTATACTCTCTGGTACTGCTAGATGAGTATATCAAGAGATCTCTTTAGCAATACTAGTCACGTGACTAGAAGCACTAGAATCTATGATCCATTCTGTTGATCCTGTGGCGGAAGTAGTGGCAAGAGTAAGTGTGTCACTATTACTTTTGTTGAAGTGAGCATACGTGGCAATGTTACCCCTTGATGTTGATGGATTTGAAACATCATCAGCGTTATCTTCTGCAGCTTTCTGCTTCCTTTTCAACAACTTCAGACACTCATAATCCTCACTAGTAAAGATCACACCTCTCTCTCTCGTCCTCTGCTACCATTGGATTTGATCGGTAGGCTTATTTTTCTTCTTTCCTTATAGCACTTGCGAGCCCCCCTTAACACTTAGCGTACTTGGTCTCGCAATAGCCAATGCTGATCGTGCACCGAAAAACCACTCGACTCAGAGTGTAGCTTCATGGACTCTCCTCCTGTATCATCACAACAATGGCCTCATCTAGTGTAGGAGTAGTCGTCTGAGCTAGGAGGACAAATCTTCTCTAATCAAAGGCTTGATTCAGATAAGCTGAAACTGCATAGTCCTCATTTGTGTAAACATTTCACCTTTCTTGCAATTTGGATCGTTATAACTCGACATCGGTGAGAAGTAATCAAAATCCGCCCACAACCCTCCAAATTTATGGAGTATTCCTGAATTGATTTTTTACTCTGTACCACAACTTCTATCTCACGTTGAATTTGGAATACTCTTATGTGGTTCTCAGTCTCAACATAAATATTCTTCAACTTTACCCAGATGTCCCACACCTTTCGAATGCCATCAATTGAGAACGTAATTGACGAAACCACTGAGTTGAGTAGCCAGGTCTAAACTAAGACGTGAGTGGTCCTCTGCTCATCCCTCTCAGCACTGTCACTCTTTGATTTGTTTTCGGTCAAATATCCCTCTAGTCTCTTCCCTACTAAAGCCACCTCAATCCGATGTGGCCAGCTTCCAAATAAGTGACCGGTCCATTAAGCTTCAGATCCACGTGAGGGAGATCTAGCTTCACCTGCATCGAAACATGTGTTGTAGTCGTGGTTCCTGTCAAGACACTAGCTCCATGTATGAGCCCTACCAAGATCTTCAGGACCTCAGGATCAATTCTTCCCAGAAGATCCAATCCGTTACTCCCCACACTATCTCCATCTCCCGTCATCTTCAATTACCTGGACTCCCTTCTAGGTCATACACGCCACGAAAAATCACTTTCCTCTTTTAGGCCCGATTTTGATCTATCTCATTATCAAGTTCGGGATCCTTTTCATATCATTTCCCTCCTCAAGATCCATGGGGTACCACTCCCCCCCCACCCCCAACACACACACACACACACGAGCCTCTTTCAATCGGCAGACATAATCTTTTCAAGCGACAGTGACCTGGACCGACGACGGTGGAAGGCAGCTTGGACAGACAGTGGTGGCAGCTTGGATGATGGCGGCTTGGAGTGGCAGGTGCGTCTCCCGCACGGGACACGGGTCGCATCGTTGTCTGGAGTGGCTCTGATACCAAATTGAAAAAGAACAAGACAAAAACTTCGCATTTCATTCAGCACATGTATTTAAATAAGGGTTACAACATTTAACAAATAAACCCAATAAAACCCTCTTTACACATAACTCTCAACAAAAATCATCATAAATAATGCATGTATTTTTGCATAGCAGCATTTTTTAAATGAAATATGAAAAGGTTAGAAAGAACTAGTTAGATGTACATATAAGTGCAAACCAGTTGATTATTCATTTGAATCAGCTTGATATGCGGAAATGAAAGAAGAGGTCTAGTTTATCTATCCATAAAATTTTATCGAAGTCGTGAAAACTCGAGCCTTAGACAATCGAGCAAAGCTGAATGACCATATGGATAAAATTGGTTTCTTATTTTAAGTAGAAAATGACATACGAAGATCAATTATACACGGTTAAATCTGCACAGTTTGCTATGGGTGTAGTTTAGTGTTGAAATTCTGCTACTCTTATCTTATCAAATAATTTAAGACACACGAATCAAGGTTTTCTACTATTTGATTTGTCTGTCTATGACCCTCAGATTATAATCCGTGTACTTTCCTGTAGGATTGCCGTCCCATAAATTTTTTCTTCCCTTTTTAAACTTTCCCTCTTATACAAAGAAGCGAATAAGATGCTTGAGAGTTTTTTTCATTATTTTATTTTTTAAATATAATATTCATAAAAGGCCACATGTCTATCACAATTGATTATGAGTGGTATTTTTGCATAGAATAACATGTTTTTGTTTATTTCATTTTAGACCATAAACTGATTGATTGAAAGGCCAACTGCCAAGAGGTTTATTGCCACTGCTTTTACCTTTGAAGGTTGAGTCGCCTGACATGCCTTTTAATCATAAAACATTAAAAATAAAGTGATCTAGCTTCTTGAAGTATGGATGACCAAGCCAATACGACAGAAAGGTCTCTGGATCAAGTGACCAATTTATTGTAGTAATACATAATTTATTAATCAAATTAAAATTTTAAAGTTTTACTCTAAAGCTAAGCATACTGAAGAAAAATATTACTTGATTCGAGATTTTTTGTGGTAATATTCAGGTGTATTGAGATAAGCAATAAAAGTGCATGAAGAATATGGTCTACAAGTATTATTTAGTAGATCTAATCACTAAGGACTTGTCTGGGATCAATTTTTTTTAAAACATATTTGTTTAGTGTGTTTTTTACATATTTTTATTTTTGAAAATTTAAAAAACTTTTAGATATTTTGTTTATTTTTAAAAGTAACCATATCTTGTCGAACACGTCAAACATGTTTTGTTTAGAATCAAAATCCTAAGTAAAATTAAATAAAAATAAAAACAAATGTTTTTTTTTTTATTTCAAATGTTTAATGTTCTTTCTCAAAATATAAGATTAATTTTTGTTTATTATATTATGAGATTGAATTGTTATAGATATTCTAAATATTCATGCTCAAAAAGATTTATTTTACATTCATTACCTCGGGGTGCGTCGCTTTTTGGAGTGGTTACTGTAGATCTCGAAAGATTTTTTATCTAAATG